ATATATATATATATCTTTCTTCTTAAAGACAGTTCCACTGATCTACAGTACAAAACAGATGCTATTTATTGATTATATTCTACAACGGTCTGCCATACAAGATGGGAGGAAACAGAGCAAATCTATTTAGCATATTAGGCGCGTGCTGTGAGAAGTGAGCCAATCAGGTCCACGTATGCAGCAAACCACGCCCGCGCGGCAAGTCGTCTCGCGCGCCTCGAGCGCGTTGTTCAGGCGCGATAAAAGTTGAAGGTTTTCAGTTTGTGTTTGCTTTCGAAGACGCTACCAGTGTTTTCTCCTTTTTTTTAAAATTTAGTTTTTAATCAAGCCGGCACTGGGACCACCGAGGGAGCTGCCGAGTCCCCTCAAAGCGAACTGTGACGCGGGGAGAAGCGAGCAGCCGCCCCGCTGGGTGTAAAGTTCGGGCTAGCAGCCGCAGCTCCGGCTAATACATTTAGCAGGTAGGTTTGGTGACAATGGCAGCGCTGTGTCATCCTCGACGCGCCTTGGTGGAAATACCCGCTCCACAGCCCAAAATTGCAGGTGGGTCCTCCCTCTGTTCTTATTAGTTTTACCTTTTAAAACCACTAATTGCGCTGTGAACTCCACACTGCGCTAATGCTAACGATATCTCGATGCGCGCGCACCCAGACGCCATCAGGTCACTTGACATTGATCGAATTATCTTTTGATTTGTAACGTGTTTAAATATAAGTTCACCCACTGTTCGTGCTTTGAAAGAAGTGGCAAAGTTCTCGTAAGGCTCAGCAGAAGTTGTTGCGTTTTTCAAAGTTTTTAATATTTTTTTTAATCTTTTTTTATTTTATTTTGCAGCTCAAATGAGAAGATCCTATTTAGAAATCCTGAGTGCTCGTTTAAGCCCATCATCTCCCCCAAGAGCCAGAAACCCAAACACCAAGCGGGCTCACTCATGTAAGTCAATAAAACCTGTTCAACCTACAAACTAGCTTTTTGTTCTTTTACCTCATTCTTAGGTTCTTCTGTAGTTTGTGTGTCGTTCGCATCACATGTGGTACATGAGGTGGAACGAAACGAGTCCCTGTTCGCTGGTGAAGATTCTCAGTCATCCAGGACACGGTCAATTCAACAAAGAGTTCAAGACAAAAACAACTGGACTTGATTCGTAACGGAGCACGTTTTGATTCTCATCCGAGGAACTTTCTCAATTCAAAGAACAGGGTCGGTGTTGCCAGATGTTGCGAAAAAAACAAGCAGCCAGCTCTATGAAAACGAGCCCAACTGGCAACCCACATTGTGTCAAACAGAGGCCATTTTTAAACGGTATAAACATATTTTATTATGGCATTACTTATAAACAGCAAAGCTACGCTAAACACTTTAAATAACATACTTTTAACCTCTGATCGGGTGGCACGTCGATTGAGTCATTAATAGGAATGCACGATCCACATTTTTTAACTTCCGATCCCGATACCAAAATCTGGATATCAATCGATACCGTCCCGATATCATCATCGTTATTGATTTTATATGAGGCTGTAATAATCGCCTCAAGTACAGTTTGTACAAATATATGCATGCATGTCCAAAAAGGCAACTTGAGGTAAGTTTTTATTAATGTTGGATAAGTTTCAAAGTTATAATTAAATCCTGCTAACACAAAACATGTTTGTTTTTATTCCTAGCTTTAAAGTGATTAGTTGGCTTCAAACATCTAAGTTCATGGCTTAAACCAGCACAGACATATTCTTTTTAGTATTTTTCAATTCATATGCTTTTTATGATTTACTGTTGTACTGATAAATATCTCCTGGAGGGTAAACTATATCTTGGCTGCAAGTATCGAGATGAGAAATCTTTTGTTTTCTACAACTGATAGCAGTCGGTCATTAATTACGATGAAGTTTAGCAACTTCTCGGTAAACATTCGAGCTCGGGGGCTTCAGCGGTGTTTTGTTCTCGTTCAGTCCGAAGCAGGCGGTCTGATTTCGGTCAGCCGCGCTCAGTCTGACCCTCGTCCGAGACGGGCAGACTGAGGATGAGTAAGCCACAAAAGTTCATAGCTAAGGAGGCTGGCTGTTCACAGAGCGCTGTGTCCAAGCATATCAATGGGAAGTCTAGTGGAAGGGCAAAATGTGGCAGGAGAAGATGCACCAGCAAGAGAGATGACCGTGGGCTTCTGGGGATTATCAAACAGAGAAGATTGCAGAGATCCAGAAAGAGTGGAATGAGGCGGGAGCCACGGCTTCAAAAACCACCACATTCAGACACATCCAGGAGATGGACTACAACTGTCGGGTTCCTCTGTCCTCTTTTCCGATGAAAGTAAAGTGTGCCTTTCATTCAGAAATCAAGGTCCAAGGGTTTGGAGGAAGAAGGGTGAGGAACAGAACCCATACTGCTTGAGGTCCAGTGTGAAATATTCACAGTCACTCATGGTTTGGGGTGCAATGTCCAGTGCAGGTGTTGGTAAACTCTGCTTTCTTGAGTCCAAGTTCACCGCAACAGTCTACCAGAATGTTTTGGAGGACTTCATGATTCCTTCTGCTGAGGATCTGTATGGAGATGCAGAGTTCATCTTCCAGCAGGACCTGGCCCCTGTCCATGCCGCCAGAAGCACCAAACCTGGTTTGATGCCACAGTGCTTGACTGGCCAGCCAACTCACTGGACCTAAACCCCATTGAGAAACTATGGAGTATTCTCAAGAGGAACGTGAGAAGCACCAGACCCAACAACAAAGAGGAGCTGACGGCATCAAGGAAATCTGGGCTTCCATAACTCCCAGTCAATGCCACAGGCTGGTTGTCTCAATGCCACATTAAGACAAAAGGGATTCCCAACCAAGTATTGAAGATTGACGTCATTTTGAAAGCACCATATTTTGATTGATTTGTTGTGATCCTAATTTTTTTTTTTTCTTCTGTAAAAACTGAGAAGTGTGGGCTGATGTCTTCACATTATTCTAATTTTTTTTTTTTTTTTAATCCTGTATTTGTGGGTTTCATGAGCTGGAAGACTAAATTATGTAAAAATAAACAAATGAAATTGTTTAAATTCTGGGCGCCCTGAATCTATCGTCTATTAAATATTAACTTTTTGAATGGAACTATGGAAGTTTAACAACTTTTCCATGATATTCAAATGTTTTGGAAAGGGTCTGTATAGTTTTCAGTATATGAATTTGTAGGTTGTAAGGTTGATTTATATGAATGTATGTATTCTTACTGTACTTTGAGTGATGAATTGTATTTTAATGAGTAGAAATGCCCAACCCAGAACTGGAGTTATGAATTATCTCTTTGTGCAACGCATCAGCCACAGACTTGTTCTGTTCTGTTTATGTACATTGTCCCCGTCAAATAAACTAATAATAATAATTTCTGTTTTCCTTGTTAAAACCTATATTTGCCAGTATAAGCATTCAAATTTTATACATTTGTTCAAACTTACACCTGTCCCCAAAAATCCAACAACAAAAAATGTTTGACGCCAATTATTTGGAAAAATATAATTTCTGTTGAACTCATCCCTTTGTTTTAATCCAAACCGGCTGTTATTTGAAATGGTCGTTTACGTCCCTCTGATGAACTTGAGATTACTTCTACAGAAACGGCCCGTTGAGTTCCAGTTCCGTTTAACCGGGTCACGTGTTCTGTTTCAGTGGACTTGTCGATTGATGGGATGTGGAGAGAGAGAATAGTTGGCCAGGGTGAAAAGACGGATGAACACCGTACCCCACTTTCCAAACAGCAGCTTGTTCAGCTGATCAGATCCATCATCCTAATCGAAAAGGTACTCCGTCTGTTTAATGACCCTGTCGTGTTTGGACAAAACTATCCGTTGGGTGCGGCTCTCCATAGACTGATGCGCTGCTGCTTCTGTAGAGTCACGAGCCGAGGGTCATGACTTCAGACCTGAAGCTGCGACAGGAGGATCTACAGCTAAAGAAGGCAAACGTGTATAGATCCATACCGTACTCGCGGTTTGGCTCCAACAGGGATGCCCACTGTTACAGAAAGGCCTACCCTCATCTGCTGGCATTCAAAGTAAGTCAGTGTTATAATTAGATCATTTATACTTGGAACCTAACGTTGGTGTCCCCAATTCTTTAAGACCAGGTTTTTAAACTCTGCTCCACAGGATACCGCCGTGAACATCGGTTCTCCTTGTGTTCTGCTAATTCTTTCTCCTCGTTAGGTTTCATGTCAGGAGTGGGGCCAAGTTCTGCTGAGGAACAAAGAGTGGGACGCCGTGTTGGAGCACTCCTTGATGGCGTGGCGATACACCAGCGAGTTGCCGCAGTGGGACACGGCGAGCCACAACGCGCTGCGGGAACAGTGCTACGGGGTTCTGGCTGCTCACAGTCTCGCCGCTCTCCAGCACTACAGGCCCGACGCCGTCGGGGGACGTGAGCTGCTCAGGAGGTACCGCTCAGCCTTTTAATGCCGCTCAAACTGCCCTCGTGGAAAACGGCTTATGTGCTGAAATAACTTCTCAAAAGCACTTTGACTCTTTAAAATGTTAAAACTTGCACTCATCTCCAAGACCATAGGGCAAGCCAAACTTTTAGGTGACTACAAATGGCGTTTAAGGCATTTCCTGTTGGAACTAGTTCTGATGAGTTGTCAGTCAGCTGAAAGAAAGCAACACAAACTTCCTGATTTCATTTAGCTGCCTGCAGACTGTAAGTTTTCAAATCTTTTAGGTGTTTATTAGTGTACAAGTCTTTGGAACAGTGTGTTTTTTCCTCTTTAGTCTCTAGAATTAAGACATTTGAAGTATTTCTGCAGCTAAACTAAGTTTCAGAGTGTTAAGTCTTGCATAGCTGCTGAAGTTCACATTTCCTTACATTGGATGTTTTTGTTCCCAAAGTTAAGTTTTTTTTAAACATTTCAGCCTAATTGACGTGTGCTAAATTGACTGAATATGATTTAACGGGTCGCTGATTTGTTTTTCTTTCTTTCCAGGTTTAAGATGGCTCAGCTGCAAAGCCAGTCCATTGTTCCTTGTGTTCAGGAACTACACAGGATCGTGGGGACGTTTTCATAATTTTCTTTTAGGTACAAAGAGACGTGAAAATCCCGATCAACACTTGGTCAGAAAAAAATCTCATCTGTGTTAAACGGCTGAACGTATATTTGACAAAGTTGCCTGGAAAATCCACCACTTGAAGACTTTATACCGAGGTCTGTTGCTTACAGACATACGGGTAAAAAAGGTGCCTCAAAATGCAAACTGTTCTTTTAACTGCAAGTTATCTTCAACTTATCTGACGAGGTTGAGTCAGGTCATCTGGGCGGATGACTCAGTCATCTGGACTCGGGCTTTAAAATAGCACCTTCTCACAGTGGATCAACCAGTTTGGTGCTGATAGCCAAAACTAGTTGTTCACATGTAAAAGAAAGGAAGACCACAATCCTAAAAGTTGATCATTAGGGCCCTAACAATTGGTTGTTAGAGCCTTAACAATTGGTCGTCAGAGGCCTGACAGTTGGCCGTTAGGGGCCCTGACAGTTGGTCGTTGGGAGCCTTGACCGTTGGGAGCCCTGACAGTTGGTCGTTAGATCCTTGACCGTTGGTCGTTAGAGCCTTGACAGTTGGTTGTTGGGAGCCCTGACAGTTGGTCGTTGGGAGCCCTGACCGTTGCTCGTTAGAGCCCTGACCGTTGGTCGTTAGGAGCCCTGACAGGTGGTCGTTAGGAGCCCTGACAGGTGGTCGTTATAGTCTTGACCCTTGGTCGTTAGAGCCCTGATGGCTGCTTGTTATTCACAGAGGGTTGAGTGATGCAGTAACAGCATTGTAAGAGGGTGACAGTTGAACATGGAGGCCCCGCCCCTGTTTAAACTTGAATGGTGGCTCAGTTGGTAGAGCTGTTGCCTCTCAGCAAGTAGGTCGCCGGTTCCTTCACTCCTTTCAAACCATCCATCCATCCATTTTCTTCCGCTTATCCGGGGTCGGGTCGCGGGGGTAGTAGCAGCCTAAGTAGGGAGGCCCAGACTTCCCTCTCCCCAGCCACTTGGGCCAGCTCTTCCGGGGGAATCCCGAGGCGTTCCCAGGCCAGCCGAGAAACATAGTCCCTCCAGCGTGTCCTGGGTCTTCCTCTGGGCCTCCTTCCGGTGGGACGTGTCCGGAACACCTCACCAGGGAGGCGTCCAGAAGGCATCCTAAACAGATGCCCGAGCCACCTCAACTGGCTACTCTCGACGTGGAGAAGCAGCGGCTCTACTCCGAGTCCCTCCCGGATGATCGAGCTTCTCACCCTGTCTCTAAGGGAGAGCCCAGACACCCTGCGGAGAAAACTCATTTCGGCCGCTTGTATCCGAGATCTCATTCTTTCGGTCACAACCCAAAGCTCGTGACCATAGATGAGGGTGGGAACGTAGATCGATCGGTAAATTGAGAGCTTCGCCTTTTGACTCAGCTCTCTCTTCACCACAACAGACCTGTACAGCGCCCGCTTCACTGCAGACGCTGCACCTATCCGCCTATCGATCTCACGCTCCATTTTTCCCTCATTCGTGAACAAGACCCCAAGATACTTAAACTCCTCCACTTGGGGTAGGACCTCCTCCCTGACTCAGAGAGGGCACTCTACCCTTTTCCGGCTCAAGACCATGTCCTCGGATTTGGAGGAACTGATCTTCATCCCGGCCGCATCGCATTCGGCTGCGAACCGCTCCAGCGAAAGCTGTAGATCACGATCTGATGAAGCCATTAAGACCACATCATCTGCAAAAAGCAGAGACTCAATCCTAAGGCCACCAAAACGGATCCCCTCAACACCTTGGCTGCGCCTAGAAATTCTGTCCATAAAAGTTATGAACAGAATCGTTGACAAAGGGCAACCTTGGCGGAGTTCAACTCTCACTGGGAACAAGCCCGACTTACTGCCGGCGATGCGGACCAGGCTCTGACACCGGTCATACAGGGACCTAACAGCCCGTATCAAAGGGCCCGGTACCCCATACTCCCAGAGTACCCCCCACAGGGCCCCCCGAGGGACGCCGTCGAACGCCTTCTCCAAGTCCACAAAGCACATGTAGACTGGTTGGGCAAACTCACGCACCCTCCAGGACCCTGCTGAGAGTGTAGAGCTGGTCCAGTGTTCCACGGCCAGGACGAAAACCGCACTGTTCCTCCTGAATCCGAGGTTCGACTATCCGACGGACCGGACTCTCCTTTCAAACCAGCATTCCTCTATCAAGAATGTGATATGAGAGAAACGTTGGTTTGAAAGAGGAGTGAAAGAAGCCATCTTGTGAAGAGAACCCATCCATCATTAAATGGGTAGAGGCCTCCGTGTCCACCTGTCCCCCTCTTACAATGCTGTTATTTCTAGTACCACTCAGCCCTCTGTAAATGGCAAGCGGCCATCAAGGTGCTAACGATCAGTTGTTAGGCCGATGACCCTTTTATGCGTGAACAGCTATTTCTGGCTGTCGGTGGCAAACTGGTTGATCCCCTATGAGAAGGTGCTATTTATAAGACTGAGTTTGTTGCAGCTCCTCAGACTGACGAAGACGAAACGTTTAAACAAAGAAGAATCCATCCAGAGGACCTGACTTAACCCTGTTAGGTTTATCTACCTGGATTATTGAGCATGAATCAGGATATTTCAACTTGGGGTCACATTTATACACAACTAGTTATTGTAAAGCTTCTCACAAGTAGTCCTTCCAAAAACAAGATTTTATTTTTATAAACATAGCCTATAGTTTGCATTGATAACTGAGATAAAACAAAAACCAACTGGCCTTATCTGGTGCTATATATTTGATTGTGTATATGTAGGTTTTTATTGTTCCGATACTTGAAACTGATGTGAAACTTGACTGTTTTTCTAAAAAACACCTGAATTGCACAGTCGCTGTTTTGTCCTGAAAACTTGAACTTGTTTGATAAGAGATAATTTAAATAAAGTTGACTTGAACTGCAGAAAACACTTTCTGTTTTACTTTCGTGAAGATTCAAGAGCAAATATTTGTCGTCGACACCCCTCAGCACAATTTCTATAGTTAAGTGAGTCGCTTCGTATTTTTATCAAGATAGGAATACAGTATTGTCCTTTTTTAGTTTAAATACAATCACCAACTCATAGAGTAAAAGATAAGTAATATAAATGTATATTTATGCTTGCATTTTAGTGTGGTTTGAAAAATGAGAAATATAATTTCAAAAGACTTCAAAATAAACCACAGCAGATAAAGATGTACAATTTTCTGCTCCATCTTCTGAAGTTCTCCTAGTACTCCACCAGGTGGAACTCACGCAGCGCTTTTCCACAACGGCTCAGTTCTGTGGTTTCAGCATCAACATTGTCGTCTCTGGTGAAGCGGCTGTTGCCATGACACTTGAGCTATGATTAAAAAAGTTTTGAATGCTGGTTAAGGTTAATAAATTAACATTTGAAAGGCTGCTGGCTGATTAGGAGACTTCCTTCGGTATGAACCTTTTCTTTTCCCAGTAATGTCAATAGCAACCTATAGCTGTTATGTCAGCTCCTGTCAAATCAATACTAGACGCGTGTTTCCATGGCAGTGTAGTAATATTAGTGTATAGGGTCTTGTAAATGTGGCAACCTGCTCATATTGTTTTAATTCGTCACATGAAGGTTAATTTGGACCTGGTGGGCCTCATGACCTATGACATGACAAGCCTCATCACAAAGTTCCTGAAGTCTGGAAATCTGCATTCGTTCTTCCATTGTTAAAAGAAGGTGAGTCCTCAATCGTGAACAATTCTAGACCCATCTCAAAATTATGTATTTTAGCAGAAGTGTTTGAAAAGTTGGTCTTCTATCAATTGAAATTTTTATAAATCTTTTAAATCCTTTTCAGTTAAGGTTTGGGAAGCAGCACAGCACTGCAACTGCTGCTCTAAAAGTTGTAAATGGTGTGTTTGAGGCACTGGATTCTAAGGGTGTACCCCAGGGCTCTGTC